AGCATGACGTACAGGGAGAAGCTCCAGGATGTTGATATAATAAGGCCTCTCGACCGCAGACCAATACCCCCCCATTCCTGAAGGGATGCATCCGTGAAAATGTGTAAATCTGGACAATGAAGAGGAAGTGGGACATCTGGCAAAGAGTGAGTCTTGTCCAATCACCAATGCAGTTCATCGACCAGGGTAGGAGGAAGGGTAATAAGAGCTGTTAAAGGATCCCTCGCGAGATTCCACTGGTCATAAAGAGCCCACAATGAGCCTGATCTAAGGAAGCTAAGGACTGCCATGGAAGACCACTTCCCCCAAAGCAAAGAGACTTTGGGTGTGGTCAAATAATCAATTGAAAAGGGTTTGACTTCCTGAGTCCAAAAGTGTAATTAGATCTCAAATTGGCCAAGAGATGATGGAGCTATGAGCTAAAAGTTTGTACTTGAAAAAACAACAACTCAGAGCTGTTCTATTAGCCATGGCTAAAAATGTCAATAATTACTTCTGACATTTGCTATTACATCATTTATAAGGAACAGAAAGAGAAGATTTTTATTTATTTGTTCACATATAATGTTAGCTAATTCTCACACAGCATATGAATTGCATGGTGTACAGATTCCAAGTTGTTAACACCAATTTCAGCTTGACCAGCTACAGAAATAATTTTATTTCACTTATAGCTTAGTTAGAAAGCCAGTTAAATTATAACAGGTATAGGATATTGTATGCTTTGGCACATTATTATTTTGTGTTCTAAATTTAAGTGCTACATTTTTTACTTTTTGTGTATACTTTTCATTTATTGTTATAAAAGTAACTAAAATGTAAATATTAGAAACTATTACGTTAGTTGAGAAAATGTAAATTAAGAAAATTAAATAAAAAAATTTCTCTGCAAGGTATGCATGCACACAAGAAGCTTATCTGTTATGCAATTCAATGTAGTAACTTAAGCTATGCATTTGTCGAGAGATTTCTAGCTTGTTACATGGATTTAATGGTTAGGCATGGTTCAGTGAGTGATAAAACACTCAAATTGAATAAAAATGGATGTAAACCTTTACAAGCCTGAGGCTCTTTAATATAAATAATTGTATTCTTCCAGTACTTCATGTTTGAAAAATGCACGAGGGCTGTATACAGCTCCCACCAAACAGTTCATAGGGGCTGTTAGTGGGCTAATGCTGTATCTCAATTCTTTGTTTAGAATAAAAGTTAACTGAACTGTACTGTTTTGCTATCAACATAACTGTTTCACTAACTAAACTGAGACATGTTTACAGTGTGCCACTGAACTGTGACAACCTTTAATCAATATGGCAGCCATTTTGGCCTTGCATCATGCAAAAAGTAGTTCACTGAACAAAGTTTAGGTCACAATCAAATCTGATAAAACTCTTCTTGCTAGTCTGAATTTTCTAATAATTAATATCCAATTTTAATGTAAACTTTAAAACACTGACTTAGTTTCTCTGTTACAAATATTTGATGACCATATACAATATTGTTCAAAAATATAATATTACTGCACCTGCAACATTGCAAGTCTAGGTCAGTGGTTCTCAATCTTTTTGAATCCACAGAACTCTTCTGGCATTAAATTTGTGTCACAGAACCCTTTACTACAGTGATTAGAAAAACATCACTGCAATACTATATTAATAATTCCAAACAGTTAACCTACATTTCTCAAGCATCTGTTTGTACCTAGTTTTGCTCACTAATTTAAAACAATGCAATGATTTATGTTGTGCCATTATGAAACCCACTATACTAAAAAGAAATATGATGTAGTCAGATTACAGTTATGTGACTAGTATGTATTTACCCATTAGAATATATGAAGTTTTTGTGTTCCATGGAACCTCTGCCAAGAAGTACTGGTCTAGGTCAATTTTAACACAGTGAAATAGACTAATGAATATATTGATATATTACATCATTAGAAATAAGTTGAATTGGTTGTGCAATGTATAAATCATCAGTAAACTAAGACTCTGTGACAAAAAAAGTTGTTAAAAATGTCAATATATATATAAAGATTTTCAGTTCAATACAACAAAGTCGATGAATTAGTCACAACAAAAAGCTCAGGCATAAAATTCCTTTGATCATAACTTCTTTTGTGTGTTTGAAAATGTGACAACTTCTGCCCTTTTATTTAAAAAGCTATGACACAATATTTAATGAATGATGCTACAAATAGCACCTAGAGTTTATTATCAAAAGAGAATAAAAGATAAGGTCATTAACTACATTTATACTTTGAAAAATCTCCTCATTTATAGAACAAAAATGGTTCAAATTTGTGGAAACTTCAGTCATATTGATAGGAAAAACCATGTAGGTGATAGGTTTTGTGATGTGTATTTATTTTTAAATCTTATTAATATAGTTTAATTTCCAATTTTAACATATGTGTGTGTGTGTATTGGAAAAATTGTATTCAAAAAGTTGCACCATGTCAACTGTTATGATTTCAAATGAAAATCTGTAAACAATATTTAATTATCAGCTTCCTTTTCAAATTTGTAAGTATATTTAACTTTTATGTGCATACATTTAATTAAAGAAAAGTTCAGGCTGTATCTGATCATAATAGCTAAGATGGCTTTCTGTAGTAATCTACATCCAATCTGTTCATATTCATACATTTATTATACCATCTCTTCTGTGTTTTATCTATCTAGTTTTTAACCATAATGTAACTCAATAGCCTATTTACAGGTTTAGTATTTATTTGAGTTATCCTGATTGGCCAGTTTATGTGCTAAACATAATGGTCGAGTCATGTAATACAGATGACTCCTTGTATATGTTTTCTTTAGTATTCAAATTCAATTTGTCATTTAAATTCACAAGTTCCCATCATGTTATTCTCTAAATTTTGTACATAATTTCAGTATCTGGTGGTGACAATTTTCTAAAAGGTGATTATTGTGTAAATAAACTATTTAGATCTGTGATCCTTATCTTCACCAGTAATTCATTAATTTATCATTTCTACTTACATGCTATTAATTCATAATGTTTAAGAGGTCAGGGAGAACATAGCGAAAAAAAGATATGGATGCTAATATAATGTCTGTTGTCTTTGAATGGGCTTCTGACACAAGCACTGTAGAGGTTGAAATCATAATGTATTGGACCAAATCAAAGGGCTAATCAATAATTATTTCTTGGCTTTGAAATCATTAGATCACACTTCAGATGCTGATGTTTATGACAGAGTATTCATAGACAATGGCACGAAGAACTGGAGAGGCTAAATGGTACACATGAGCTGAGATGGAGCAAATGCAAATACAGGGAAAGAATAGTGTTCACTGTGTTGCATAAAGACTAGAGGTGGGTTAGTAAAAGTAATTCATAATGTTGTGAAGGAGAAAATATGAAACTGATGGGGCATATTGAACCCCTTCATATGGAAACAGCTTTTTTCATATTCTTCCTATCTCATATTCCATTTTCTTGATCACTTTATATATATATATTTCCAAATAGTCCAGTATAAAATGAAGATCCATGCAGTACATTTTGTGTGCAACCTCAAGGACTAAAAAGTAATGAAGTTCATATTTCATGAAAGACCTGCTGTATGTAATAAACTTACTATTCCAAAAATTTTTTAATCTTGAAGTCTAAGTTCAAGGGAAGTCCAGTTCAATCTACACTTTCATCAATGTGTGTTATTGGGTTATATTAGTTTCAGAGAATTACACTCCTCATCAATAACCCTGAATACAAGTTAACCAATGAGAGATAAGTTGGACCTATATCATTAATTAAGATGTAATTTATTTGAAATTGTGTTTTTCAGAGTTCTCAGTTCTCACCAGAGTCACTCAAATAACACTTTTAATTCTCCCTGTCCGAAAAGTATACAAGACTTGGGTTATCTAATTGGCAGTTAACTGACTTTCTTGTAAGGAAAATAACATGTGACATCCAAAAATGTTATCTTTCCTATCAGTTGAAATCAGCGGCAGCCAGATCCTAGAGCTCAACTCCCACTAGACACAGATCTTGGATGTGAGGTACATTTGTGTGCAAACTTAGCTTTGTTTGTGCATTTTGTTTTGTATATAAAGTTAGGTTTGTCTTTATATGATATTGATAAAAGTTTTAAAACTCTGAAGAACAATTATTCACAATTGTAGAACTTTAACTTACCTTTTAGTAACTTTTATAACTTCAATAACTTATACCTTTTGCTTTTGTATACTGAAATTTGTGTGGCAATTATTATTTTTCTTTGTTTAACTTTGGATTTAGTCTGTACAACATAGTTACTATAGCTGTGTTTAGTGAATACTAATGGTACCCTTAACTGTAGGTGAACTCTGTTTAGTTCACTTTATGGATTTGTTTGAACTTTAACAACTTAATCATATACAAATTTGTTGTCTAAAGCTGCTGTCGTTTTCAGGTATTCTCCCAATACTGGGAGTTTTCAAGTGTGTAATGTACAGCTGATTAAGATCCCTGTATTTGTATATTTTGTTGTTCTTTATCTGAATGGCTGGACGAATCTTGCCATTCAAGTAAAACAAAAACAACAACATAAATTTAGGAGATAAGTTTCTGAGGTTTTCATATTTTTTCATAAAAAACAACTAATTCTTGGATTCATTACTATTATACTGTTTAGATGCTTATGCTCGTCAGACAGCAATGGTAACAAAACTAAGACTCAATAAATATTGCAACTTACATTTTTATCATGCAGAATGGGTATAAAAAACTTCCTAACTCACACTTGTGTATCCAAACATGATTTTATTTCATTTTGTAGATCTTTGTTTTAATATTAAAATTTATATATTTATTAATGATAAATACAATACCTACTTTTTTCATGGATGGGTTTCGAACTTGATTTGACACATTTAAGTCTCAGTGTAACATTTTTTTTACTTGAGATAATTTATAATTTTCAACATAATGCAACAATGGCTTGATGATAAATTACCTTTTTACACATACTGACTCACATTATTCATAAGTTGATTTAGTAAGTGAATATTTCTTTATTTACTTGAAAGTGCAAAGGTTCTGGAAAATTCATAGATTTCCAGTATCCTAGAATTCACAATTAGACCTCTATGGAATTACTCACAGCTTTTAAATAATGACGACATTACATATAGTCTACTTTCCACAATTTTACTGTTCCATCATCACTACAAGAGGCTAACAGTCCACCTTCTTTTGCATTCCAAGCTACAGAGTTTACATCCTGGGAGTGTGCTTTGGAAGCAGTTGCTACTAGATTAAATTGTGGTGCATTAGAGTCTGAGGAGTTTTCTTCTTGAAACAGCCTGATGGCATCATCACCTCCTGCTGTGACAATCAATTCTGAGATTGGACACCTAAATGAATAATAAAGAAATTGGTTCCCTATTATTACATACAAATCCACTTGCCCTGGAATTTATTCTCAAAAAGTGTATCACAGCATGTTGACAAGTTATTTATCCAGTTTCAGTAATGTAAGACTTAAATGTAGTAGCCAGGAAAATCCAAACCTGATACAGGTAGATGAACACTATCTAAGATAACATTTGCTAAGTGACTGATAGCTATGGTTTACATGCTCATGATAGCAAGAAACAAGATAAAAGAAATGGACAATACTACTCTCAAATTTCACATTATATTACATGCAAGTTTCAAAGATTTTATTATTAAGAGGAGCATGTACTTTTCTCTGTTGGCCTGTTGAGATGCTTGAAAACAATTATTCATTGGAGTCATAGACCCCCCCCCCTTTTTTTTTTTGCTGGTCAGACAACAATGGTAACAGAACTAAGATTTAAAAACTAATGTAAGTTACATGTTTTCATCATGTAATGCTTGGGTGCTTCAAGAGGTGCATAAATCCAGACATAGCAGTTACTTGATGCATTTAATGTGTTTTCTAATGGATCTCAACCTCTCAATTCATTAGACTCTATCAACATGGGCGATTCTTCAAGGCACTCAATCTAACCCTAGAACAGTCTCCAGAAATAATGGATTAAGCTCAATATAGATTTGTGTATAAAAACATAAGTAGACTATACAGTTTGAATTATATATACAAAATACTATATTCTCAAGGACTCTTTCAAAGCTGTTTACATGTTTAAGTACACACTAGCTCCAACTTTCAGATGTGCTTTGTGCTTCACAAATGTTTTAATCTGACCCATACAGGTAACCCAGTTCTTTATTTTCCAGGCCTCTAACATAAAAATCTAGCAAATAACACATATATACTGTAGCACACAAAAAGTACTTGTGACAATTTGATTTTAGTTTCATTTTGCAGCAAGAATGAAAAATATTTCCTATTACACAAGCTTAAGAAACTGACATCACTTCAATATTTACTTACCAACTAATGTCATATACTGTACGATGATGGAAACCAGACAAAGTACACACACACTTCCATGCAGGATCTACCCTTTTTGTAATTATACCTACACAAATCAACAGAGTAGCAGGCTTTCAGAAAAATTACTACTGAATACGAATAATAAACATACTTAGAGCACACAAATTGGTATTCATATTCCACAATTTTCTTTTTAAAAAACAATATGATACTAAAAATTATGAACTACTACATACTCTACATGTTTCAATGTCTTACGGTGTCATCATTAGGAGTAAGATATGAAAACATGTAGTGTAGGAGACTGTTCCCAGTCTCACAGTATTTTATTTTTATAAACTAAAACAATTTGTATTGTATTTTGAGACTGAGAACAGTCTCATTTTAAATATTTATTGTGTAATACAAATGCTGGTGCTATTTCTTTAATACGTCTGTGTGAAAATTTACATGAGTGTCATCCTAATCTTAAGGATTAATGTGGTTTGTTTTTTCTTAGGTTTTAAAATTACAGCACTTCTGTTAAAGTTTTATTAAGATCTTAGGGCAGATTTCTTTAAAATAGAATGTTAGCAAATTTTATACCTCCAATTGAGTGAATACTTCATCTTATATTTTTTAAGAATTTGCAACTTACAAATTATCTAAATACTTAAACTTCAATGAAATTATGTATTTAATTTTGCCTTTAAAATACAGTTCAAACTGAGCTCCATTAAACACATTTAGATTGGAAAAAAATTTTTTTGGCTCTTGAAAGACCCAAATTCTGAAACAATACATAGGGTTAAAAATCTATAACCAAGAAATTCTTCAAAGAAAAAATTTTTTTTAATTTACTGATAAAAATTTGATTTTGTAGTCAAACTGTCAATGTTAATTAAGTGCAATTCTTTTCAGAGAAAAGCTGTTTTCCAAAATCACTATTTACAAAATATTGATCAGATACATATAAAATTGCAGATTCAGTCTACTAAGTAACATCTACTAGGCATGTCAGAAGCAACAAATGGCATACAAGAATTACAGAATTGAAGTAAAAAACAGACAATTGTATGTTTCACAAAAATTTCATTTATTCGCGACCATGGTTTTCCTAGTAAAGGCATCATCAGGTACAGATTGAAGTTTTTGTGAAATGTACAATTGTCTTTGTTTTTTTCTTCAGTTCTGTAATATTGGAGTTTCACCAAGTACCAACAATATTCAAAGGATTAAATAACTTTAGCTGTAATGCTCATCACATTACCTTCACTACTTCCAGGTAAGTATTCTTTCCAAATTTTAATAGTTTTGTCATCACTACAAGAAGCCAGTCTTTTTCCAAAATGGTCAAAAGCAATGGACCAAACAGTTGATCCATGTGATTGTAATGAAGCAAAACAGCACCAGTCATCCCCATCTTCTTTATACAATTTGATGGTGTCATCATAACTTGCTGATGCTAATATCTGAAAAAGAAAATAGTAATAATAACTAGAAAAAAACGTTTGTGCAAAAAACAACATTTTGTTGGTAATAGCCCAGGACAAATACCTTATGCTGCAATATTTGAGTCACATGCATTCATTAAAATTTAACTTTCTGATTAAAAAATCTTCCCAAAACATTTTGCACTATAAAAACATATGAACCAATATTTTTTTAAAGGCAACAAATAAAACAATTTCCTCACATGGTCATAAGTTTTATTGCTTAAACACATTCACTTCTTTTCATCCAAAATAAATGTTATCACTAAATAGTTATTTATTTATTGTTTATCAATGAATAATAATAATCACCAAGCACAGTTGTGTTTAATATGTAGGGATGGACCAAGAAAAAAATGACTGCTGCATTCAATCTATTACTCTATTATGCTTACAAGTAACTGCTAAGGTTGAGTTACACCCTTATTTAAGCACCTAATTGCCATTATCAAGTGTTTCACAGCTTTTGAGATTCCCAGTATCATTGAAAAGTGTTACTAAAGTGGAAAACTAGGAATTAGATAAAGAGCCAAAGTGTTCAGCTTTCTTTTTACTTTTCCTAAGCTAGCCAAAAAAATGTTTGTAGTTTTGTAATGGCTTTAGTATGATAGAAACTCATTTTAAGAGCACTTGGAAACAGGCTATCACTAAGCACAGCAGTGCTTAGTATAGACTTAATAAAAATCATAGTGAAAACAATGTTATCGTTACCCCTTGAAGTTAGCTTTGTTACAGAAACCTGGTGTTCCTTTAAAATGCCTAAACACAAGTAAAATGATGTAGGGATGGCAGTGCCAAAAAAATACAAACATGAATAAGGGATGATACAGCTATATATTTTTTCATACATTCTTTCCTTACTGTAGGTTCCTCATCATCAAATCCCAAGAAGTCAAAATTATGACCAGTGATGATTAATAATCTATTGTAGCCAATTGTATGGCATTATATGAATATCAGAAATCATTCTACAAGAGCAATGAAGAAACTGACAAAACTGATATGATATTAACAATATATATTACCAATGAATTATAAAAATAAACAAATGTTCACTTATCAACCTACTTCAATGAAATTGTTTTAAAAAAGTAAGAGACAAAACAAGTAATAAAAAAAATGTTTGGATAAATTAAGCATGATATAGGAATGGCAATGCTAAAAAGTACAGAAAGAAGGTAGCGATGAATCCAGAAATAACTTTCATCTACAATTAAATGTTGAATTCCTGTCAGTTGCATGAATTCAGGTTTGAATAAAGCTATTAAGCTGAATAGTGTTATACAGTTTTACAGTGGCTAATAACCATAAACTCGTAAGATAAGATTGACTTAGTACTTACTTGGCTACTTATGTAGGGAATTTTTTATGGTTTTGTGTATTCATCATTACCTTGTTTCTGTACTTTTTGGCATTGCCATCCCTACATCATAGTTAATTTTTTGCAAATTTGTTTGATACTTGTAAATATTAAATTGTCATGAGGAGATTTGAACTTTATTTTCTTGTTTTACTATTGTACCAAATTGGAACCTGCACAGGAAACAAGTTCAAAAGATTGGCTATATTTTATTTCACCAGTGTTCCTTATGAAAATGACATTCCACAGCTTTAAACAGTAAGTAAAAGTGAGTATTTCCAGCCTGTGAGCAAGATTACTTTTTAAAGTCATTGTTTTGTGTCACATAAACTATTTTTTGCTGCTCATCATGAATGTATACATGGTAAACCATTTTCTAAACTGCTAAACCTTAGTTGCTTTTTATTATAAACCTACCTCTTTGTGTGGATGCCATAAAACTTTTTTCACATCTTGCGAGTGGGAGTTGAGAACACTGACACATTCATATTCGTCATCATCAGAAACTGACAGTTATAAGAAAGTAAAGAATAAAATCATTTAGTGTTACATGGAACTTCTTGTATGTGGTTTTACTCAAGATATCTTAATGAGTAAAAATTTAGCAACAAAAAAGTGAATTAGATACCCAGCCAGTTTGACAGTATGCAAAAAAAAGACAGAATACAAGAACTAATTACAAAATAGTATCTACTTGGTATATTTTTGCAACATAACAATTTTAGGTGCGCATGCATAATATAAAGAACATTAATTACATTTGACAAAAGCAACTTACACATGATAATGCAGTAGCATACCATTTCAGATGTGAGCCACAAGAGACATATTTAGCAGTTCTTTGACTTACAACAAATCCCCATTAATTTGACAACAAAATGACTCAATTAGTGAAACACAAAATAATTGGCTGAAATTTATTAATTTAACAAAAATAAACTAATTGAAATTAATGTTTTTGATTATTCCAATTATCCAAGTAATTAAAAAAATGCCATTATGATTTCTAATTATTTTATTTTTCAATTAATTCAAGTTTGTTCATCTTAACAAGTTTTTTGACTCTCAGAAACAATTATCCAATTGAAATGAATTATTTTGTTTATTTGAACTGTCAAAGTAATCATGTTCACGTTTACCTTGTTTGGGCTAAATAATTGTGTAGTTTTAACTTAAAATACTACTTACTTATTACAAGCTACAAACATAAGTATTACTTAAGGTAAGACTGCTTTAATCAAAAAAGGAATGACAAATTAACATTCATTATACACTAAAAAAATTTTTCATTACTAAACAATTTGCTCATTTCACTCTGCCAAAAATGACCAGACAATGACTAATAACAATCTAACAATACATGTGTGTGACACTGTTAAGTCATTAACCTAGGATAACTCCTCTAACTAGATAGGAAGCACTGAAAATGGAAAACAAAAGGTTGGCTGCTGTCATTCTTAAACAGTGCCAAGTGCAGAAAGCTTTAATTAAGTTATTTGATCTATTGATTTCTCAGCACACTCATACAGTACAGGTTTGAAGAAACTGTTGAAACAAATGTAAATGTATTAATCATTTTTCATATGCTCTTTTGAAACTTTCATTAGTTTTAACTTCTCACTTGAAAGTTTGACATTTTTATACTTATAAGATTGTTAATTTCTGTAATTAATGATTTCATATATATATATACATTACTGTGATTTGAATATTTATTATAATACTTTGATTTCCACCTTATGAATCAATCTAATGTCTGAAAATAAATCATGAAGTATCATTACCAAATAATAAATGTTGTTCTGTCTTTGTTTTTCTAGGATCAGAGTGAATTTGTTTGCACTGAATTATCTATCACATACTGTGACAAGAATCTTACTTGTTTTATAACATGAAAACTAAGGACAATTATTTCTAATGAAAAATCAATTTATTTAATTTCGATAGTGGTCTTGTAAAAATCTATGGGTAGAAATTCACTGGGACATTATTTATTGTATTTCCAGATTGTTGCAGTTCTTGCTTGAGAGAAATTTTAGACAGAGGACATTATACTTTAAAGGTATTGTTAATGAACTGCATATGTCGAGGAAGTTTTTGGATGATGTTTTGAAATATCCAAAACATTGTTCAAAACTTTCTAGACTGATGCAGTTTATTAACAATTCTTTTCAAGCTTATTACAGGTTTTGCATTACATTGTGTAAATGATATACTTTCATGTACAACAGTTTTAGATTAAAAAATAGAAACTTAATCTTAAATTGATGTACCTGAAAATGTCTATCATACTAAATGAAGAATTGTTTGAAAAGGTCGATAAAAAGACAAATCATCTGAAAATAGAAAGATTAGTCTCTTGAGACAATAATTAATTAATTAATTGAATGTTAATGATTAATGAGTCTCACAATTAATCATTTAATAAATTCCACTGTGGGCACTATGGAAGAGAGGGAAAGTTCAGTTCTTATAGATTTTTGAAAATTATTTAAAATTAATATCATTTGAAGTAATTTGGGTTAAATAACAAAAGAATAACTAGATTTAGTAAGATGGCTAAATAAAAGTAAGAGGGTCAAAGTTTTAAATCAAAGTTTAGTGACATAAATTGTACAACAATGTCAAATTAGGCTTAGTATTGTTACGACAGCGGAAGTCACATGATGCTGGTAACAAGTCAAGAGTTTCTAGAAGGATCGGGCAACATCACAAATATCCTAGTATTTGCTAGACGCCCTCTATTTTTGTACATAAGCCCGGCAAATAAAGCGGACATATAATTGCAGATAGACAGATAATTGAGTCAAGTGAGCTGTAGTGGCCGTAAGTAAAGTGCGTGAATCGCTGTAAATTATAGCGTGTGTTTAAGTTAAAGTGACTGTGGAAATTCTTTGTATTGCAAAGTTGTATTGAGAAAGAATAAACTAGTTTAATTTAAGAAAGGACTTGTATTGCTGAAGTTCCTCTGGAAGAATTTTTACCGGAAATTAATAAACGACCAAAGATGTAACAGTTGGTTTTAAATCAGGTTAAATATATTGTATTATAAGCATTACATATACATCAAACTAATGACTAGTTATTGTCATTTCTGTTACTGAGTTCTATATAATTAAAGATAAACTTAATTACTTTAGTGTGAAGACAAAGTAATAATAAACTAAAAGAACTGGTTCTTAAACATTACGCTTAACACTAAATTTAATTACTTTAGTGTGAAGACAAAGTAATAATAAACTAAAAGAACTGGTTCTTAAACATTACGCTTAACACTAAATTTAATTACTTTAGTGTGAAGACAAAGTAATAATAAACTAAAAGAACTGGTTCTTAAACATTACGCTTAACACTAACAGTGTTGACAATAAGCTACTGGTATTTAGTATTGAGTACTTATTTTCAGGCTATAAGTGTTTGTTAGGTGTGATGGGTGGTTTTATTTGGGAACTTGGGACTGGTGCATACTTTTAAGGAAGCTATTAGTGAAGATATGCAGTTTATATGTAGAGTTTGTAGGTTGGAGGAGAAAGTAGAGGCAATAGATAAAGAGAAGTGTAGACTGTGGGAAATGGCAGCATGATTTCAAGAGGAGCTTAAGCTTTTACATGCAAGGAATACATCAGCTAATAATGACTTTCAGGAAGTTAGAAAGAATACTATTAGGGCTAACAGTAGTGGATTTAGTTGTAATGAGCCTATTCTGTTGAGCAACAGATTTCAGCCTTTGGCTTGTGCTGTTGAGGAACTATTGGAGGGAAGGAAAATAAAAAGGACAGAGAAGGATATGGATGTTATAGTTATAGGTGATTCATTGACAAGACATTTGGATAGGATAGTCTGTGGAGTAAATAGGGAGAAAATAATTAGATTTTGCTACCAAGGTGGAAGATATAATAAAGGGGGCTAGCAGAGATGCAGTTTTTGTTGTGCATGTAGGGGCTAATGATGTAGGGAGAAGGCTATTTGAGGAGTTGCCTCCAACTGTGAGGTAAATCAGGAGCTAATTAATAATTAGAAGAGGGTGATAAAGCCATTTAAAAAGGCCATAATATAATTTTGTCATGGATACTGTGCAGAATTAATTGTGGAGATGAAGTTATAAGTAGGTCACTAGGGCTAAATGCTAGGCTTAGGTTGAGCAGATAGGCTGGTTGGACTTGTGGGATCAGTTCAATGGAAGAAGGGAGCTTTTTGGAATGGATGGTTTAAATTTGGATATGACAGGAGTTGCCTTGTTTTGCAAGGTCTATTAACTCATCTGTAAGGGAAGTTTTAAATTAGAACTAGACAGCAGGGAGGGCCAAGATAAACTAAATGCAAAAAGAAAAAGGGGTAGAGAAAGGTTTAGCATAGGAAATGAGTATAGTAGTAGTTATAGGGGTAGGCTTACTTGTTAATATTGTAATGCTAGAAATATAAGAAATAAATTAACTGACTTTAGAGAACTGGTAGGAATGGAGGATTTTGATAAAATAGGAATAACTGAAACATGGTTAAACATAAATGATTTTGATGACAGAAATGTATTTGAAGTACAGGGTTACAGGTTATTTAATAGGGAGAGAGTTCTAAAGAGAGGGGGGAGGGAATGGTTTATATGTAAAAAGTAAGTTACATCCTGTTGAAGTTGAGGATATCAAAAGATAATAGTAAGGAGATTGAACCCGTTTGGGTTTCTATTGGCAAATATAAAGGGAAAAGGCTTTTAATGGGAATTTGTTACAGACTTCCAGATGACAATGATTAAATTAGTGAGAAACTTTACAATGAGATTAAAATTTCAGTTGTTAATGAAGTCATAATTATGGGTGATTTTAATTTCAGGTATATAGATTGGGAAATGCTAGAGTCAAACTGTGAGAGAGAAATATTTTTGGAAACTGTTAAAAATGGCTTTCTTCACCAGTTGGTCAAGGAACCTACTAGAAACAATACTATTTTAGACTTATTGTTAACTTCAAATGTAGAAAAAATTGAGAAGGTGGAAATTGGGGAACATATGGGTGCAAATGATCATTGCTCTATTAGGTTCGATGTTTTGCTGCATATGGAGATAAGAAATAATTAGTTTCGTTATAAATTAAAAACAAATTTTTGAAGGGATGCAACAAGAATTATCTGTTGTTAATTGGGTAGCTGAGTTATTTGGAGACACTGATTAAATATTCTATATTTCTTATAGAAAGAAAATGGTGGTGCTGCAAGTAAAAAAACAGGTTGGCTCACAAAAAAGTATGAGATAAAGTTAAAGAAAAGCATCATAAATTTAAAAAAATTAAATTGACTAGTATGACAGGAGATTTAGAAGATTATAGAAAATCAAGAAAGTTGGTCAAACAGGAAATTAGGCCATCAAAACGGATGTATGAGAGTAAGTTTGTTGAAAATGGAAAAATTTACTGTAAGAATTTCTTTAAATACATTAAGGGGATAAAAATGTTAGGATTAAGGGATGATAAAGGAAGGCTTGTATCTGAAGATTATGAGGTGGCTGGGTTAGTAAATTC